GATTCACTCATATCCTCGGAAGACGCGTCCTTCACCAAGTTCTGACTGAGTTCTCTTTGAATTCTCTTACAATTATGAGATTCATCCGCTTGGGGAATGGCTCTGAAACACAACCCACACTACAAAGGCTTCTTTCACACGTTGCATGTAATTACACATTTCCACCAGAGAGGTCTCCAAATCCCCAAAACTCACAGAGTGTTTTAACATTTTGAGGACTCAGTTTTGGATGGATGGATAACTTTATTAATTGTCTATCATTAATTGTCTTAAGTCGTCTTTTATTCGGAAAACCATCACAATGTAAATATAAGTGCTACACATTTAAAAAAAAAATGGCAGAACCATCTAATATAGAACCATGAGTTCTATATTAAAAGACGTTGAGTTTCTATATGTCACCAAAAAGGGTTCTTCTATTGTTACAAGCTCGACATCATAACAATAGCAGAACCCTTTTTGGTGCTATTTAGAACTATTTTCAAAACAGTTCTATATAAAACCGTATACAACACATTCTCCATCAGTCTGAAGAACCATTTCACCATGCAGAGAACCATTTAAGCATTAAATGGTTCTATATAGAATTCATGGTTCTAAATAGAATCATTGAACCCTTGAAGAACCGTCTTTCTTAAGTCTATCTTATGAATAATGCCAAATCCTCCTTTTTTATGATGTCAGCACTCGAACCTTTTACGTTTTACACCACTTTTGGTCTAAAAGGGTTTCAGTGTGTGCTTTTAACAACGTTTGGGAACGAAAAAACTGTCGGATCGTTATTTTAAACTGCTCTTCATACCAAAGTGGATGAACACGAAGCTTAGTGTGGAACGTAGAGCTGACACGATACCACTTTTTCTTTTTTTTGATATGGAAATCACAGGAGTAGGCATGATGATAATGTTTTATCTTGATAAAATATCCCACAAGATGTTCTTCTAAGCTTACAGCATTTAAAGACACTGACAAACTGCATGATTGTTGCAAAGACAGCAACATTAGGCCTGTTTAAGAGAATATACTGTAGAACAGTGTGTAAAACGCTGAACAAAAATAATGGAGCTGGTGAATTCTGAGAGTATTTTTTAATTGTTTTTGTTGACCAAGTTCCAATTTCATCAAACATCTCTGAATGACTTTGTTTACATCTCAACCGCGGGATTATGCAGAAATTATTACTATTTTTACAATGTATTTTTCTCACGTGGCGCAAAAGTAACAGTGAGAAATTTCGACGGCAGGGTGTCCCCAAACTTTTGATGTGCACGGTGTATCGATAAAGACGAATTAAAGTAGTTCTGAGGAGGTGCGCCTCCGTTCACGTACACATGCACACTCGCATCAGTCAGTGGCATCTGCTCCTGCACTCCCCCCCCCACCACCACCCCGCCCCCCTTTCAGCTTCTCCCATGCAGCCATAAATGGCACCTAACAAACATCAGGTATTGTGTCCGGTCTGATTACAGCACGCTCAGTAGCACGCTGTTTGAAGCTGACAGCACATCTGCTTGGAGCGCCTGAGACGGATGCTGGCATCTAGGACAGATAGCTGCTGGTGGCTCAACCGACATCGAGGAGCAACTCTCAACTCTCAACACTGTCTGTCTCGTTCTCTTCACTCTCGCCCTCCCTCCCTCCCTCGCTCCCTCTCTTCATCTCCTCCTCTGCTCCTTCTTTTCCTCCTCTGTCTCTTCCTATCGCCTTCAAACTACTACTACCGGCTGCTGCTGTGTGTGCTGTGTTCAAAATGGCTGATAAGAACGAGCCCCCCCCCAGCTGAACACCCCATCCACACAGGAGAGAATAGGAAGCCCTTTCAGAGCTGGACACATTAGAACCAGAAACGCACGTATCGGGCGGAGGCGCTTTGATGTATTTCAGTGTTGCTCATTTTGTTTATCTCCCGCCGCAGATCGAAAGCAGCTGATGAAACAGAAATTTAATCCAACCACTCCTCATTAAGAACTTGGTCTCATGGCCCTTTATTCACTTTTCATTAAGCAAATTAAACAAGTAGTGTACCTCTCTCTCCCCTCTCCCCTTCTCTCTCTCTCTCTCTCTCTCTCTCGTTCTTTGTCTCGCGGCTGCCGCGACAGTGTGCTATTATTCTGTTTTCTGTCATTGCTCCGACTGCATACAATACGAGGAAACAGCTTTTTGTGTCTCGAACATGAAACCTCACATTTGCAAACGTCGGTATTGTTTTCGGCTACAGCCGGCAGTGTCTCTAATTCAGACGTAGGTAACTGGAGAAAAGAAGATTTCTTTGCCAGTCTTGGGCGATTCAGCCAAATACAACATCTCGCCACTTCACGTTTTCTCAGGACTCACTACGCAATATTTAGTTTCGTTAAGTTGGGACAGATAAAAATAAAAGTAAAAACAATCAGAAACTGTAAGTAGAGTTTCACACACTGCACTAAATTCAGCTAAACCGTTTAGTTACCATTAAGTTACCATTTCATACATCAAATGTAGTATTATTATTAATATTATTATTATTATTATTATTATTATTATTAGTTGTAGTAATATTAGTAGCAGTATTACCCAATATACATTTTTCACATTTTAGAATAATAGTAAACAGAGCAAAAGTCTGAAATGACATCATGCACAGACCAAAAAATTCTATTGAAAGTATATTTTACATTATTTTTGAAAGTTGCCCCCCTTTACCCTAAAACGGCTGCAGCTTTACACACCTTAAAATAATCATAAATAATAGTGGTGTGCATAAGTTATGTATATATATATATGTGTGTGTGTGTGTGTGTGTGTGTACACACCTAGTCAAATTGTGTTGTATTCATTAAAAAAAAAAAAAAAATGTTAAAAAAGTTAACATGTTAAATTCTATTTATTTAGTTTAACCTAAAATATAAGTAAAGTAGAAAATATAAAATCTGCCTATTTGGCAGATGTTTTATTTTTTCTCAACGTTACATTTAGCAAATAAGCAGTAATTGTGTGTTAAAGTTAAGCAGATCATTTAACAATGTAGATAATTTCATACATAGAATTAAATAACTGATTTGTAATTCTCTTAGAAACAAATTTCATTTGCGTTTAAGCATAAGTCATTCTGAGAAACGCATATGTACATATATACTAAGTTTTGACGGGTATGACGGGGTACTTCAAGACATTTTCACTCTACACAATTTGTATCATGATATTTAGTATTTCTGAGAGTTCAAAAGTTAAAACAGATGAAAAAGTAGTGCCACTTTTACAAAATACTATCAAACACTATGAATACAATGACTTTTATTAAGCATTTCACATACTGCTCTGCCCTAAATCCAGTTAAACAGGGCAAATTATGCTCTCTTTCTCATAAAAATATGTTTGTGTGTTTTAAATACTGACAATATCCACAATAGACCTTATCATAATAGGCATGATATGCTATAGCATAACGTCATAACTAACAAACTAACAGTACTCTGAAGCGCTACCAGCACCATAACACTCGCTCTTAGCAGAAACTGAATTATTTGGAGGCTTGGAATTTGTTGTTTGGTCTGGATAAACAGTGAAAAGCTCTGTACATTATTATGCACCACAAATATTTAGAAATTTTAATATTTTTTATAACCAACTGAAACCCAGAGGCAAACCAGCAGGCCAGGTTTTACATCATTCTCCACTCTCTCTCTCTCTCTCTCTCTCGCACGCTCGCTCTCATACATACACACAGTAGGGCAGCACACACAGTGGACTCCCTGAGATTTAGTACAACATGGACCGTGACAACATGACATGTCATTTCCACTCGTGCTTCTGCGCGACACTCTGCAAGAACTTCTACCGCTGCTGCCAACTGCACCGGGGTGAGCTGTGCGCAGCGCCGCATCTTTGGCAATAACTCAGATGCAATCTCCTACCCAGAAGAGCCTGACTTGAGTGGCACAGTGGCAGGGGAAACTGGATCAAAGTCACTCACAGCCTGTGCCCTCTAACTACGAGGAAGAGAGTGAGGGAGAGAGACAGAAAGAGTGAGAGAGGGAGAGAGAGCCAGTCAGTGTACCTTCTTTTGTAGGTAGTCTGATATGTCTGGTAAATGGGCTGGCTATCGACACGTGGCGGTTAATTTGTGAGGAGGCCTCATTTAAAATCGTCTTTCAACGAAGCGGTCAGCGATTGAATTGTCTGAGCACATCTGTCCAGTAGCTCTATAGTAATAGGATCTATAGTGCTGCATGTTCAAGTAGTGGTGGACGGTATGGCAAAAATATAGCATAATACTTCAAGGGATTTTCTTGATACACAATATGAATCACAGTGTTGTTTTTCTGAGGTTTCATAAGATGGAAAAGACAAAAAGGATCACATTTAATAAGTAAATATACTATAAAAGCTATGAACACAGTGATTTTTATTCCACTAAGTCCAATTAAACAGGCCTAATTTTTAAGTACCAGCGATATCCAAAATATGCTCACGATGGTAATGAATATGATCATATTTCCCACCTCTAGCTCAAAGGGATTGCTCCGTAATTTTCAGCCAGGCACGCTGTAAAGTTTCTTTTTTTCTTTTCTCGTTTTTTCAAACTGTCTGGTCTCATTTTTTTATAATGCTCTTTTTTGCTGTTGTCCCTGGTTTTCATCCTCAAGGGGACTTATTTTTCTTGCTCATCCATGCTCCCCTTTACCCTTGCTGAGCTGTAATATTCGATAGCTTTGTTAGTCTCAGCAGTGAAGGGTACTATCTATCATAGTCAAGATATGGATGTTTGCCACTTTATAATTGCAAACCTGTGTCCTCTGCCAGGACTATTGACAAGAAATCTCTTTAGGATCATTATGTAGACGCGCACACACATACTCTAACACATGGATGAAAAATGTATACATCAAGCGATGCCTTAGAAGATTCAAAACCACAGTAACTTTTCAACATCTAAATCCATTTTGAATGTTGCATTTTTCTCTCTCTTTGGACCTCATCATCATTTTTTGTTCTTTTTTTTCTGCTCTGTGTTTTCACAGCCTATGTGCCTGAGGACGAGCTGAAGGCAGCCAAGATCGATGAGGAGCACCTGCAGGATGACGGCCTCTCCTTAGACGGCCAGGACACAGAGTACCTGTGCAACGATGAGGACGATGCACGTGAGCAGCTAAGCTATCAAAACTCCCCTCTCAGCAATGGCACCAACCCAGACGCTGGGTACGGCTCACCCCTCAGCGACACCAGCGATCACCTGGCCGACTTCAAGAGCACCTCCTCCAAAGAGGGCCAGGACAAGGAGGAGGTCGAGGACATGGAGACAGATGCTGGTCTTTCCTTGCAGGATAGCCTGGCGCAGATGAAAGCCGTCTATGCAAACCTGATCTCGGACGCCTCCTGGTCCAGCATCGCAAAGGACATTATGAAAAGCAAACAACTTAGCGCCAGCAGCAACAGCACGACAAGCAACCACAAGGGGAGCAATAGCATTGTGAACAGTCATGCAACTAACACAAATAGCAGTGGAGGCAGCAGCATTAGCACTGCTAGTGGTAGCGCTAGTGCTACAACGACCACCCCCACCACCACAAGCACCAACCCTGCAAAGGCCGCTGCTTTTACCAGTCCGAAAAATGGGAACATAAGTGGTACCAGCAGTGGAGGTGTCGCTTATGACTGGCACCAAGCTGCACTTGCTAAAACTTTACAGCATACAGCGTACCACCTCTTGCCAGAACCCAGTCTCTTCAGCACGGTGCAGCTGTACCGGCAGAACAATAAACTGTATGGGCCTGTATTTACTGGTGCCAGCAAATTTAGATGCAAGGACTGCAGTGCAGCTTACGACACCCTTGTGGGCCTCACAGTACACATGAACGAAACAGGCCATTACCGTGATGACAATAAAGACCAGGAGGATGATTCAGGCAAGAAATGGTCCAAGCCAAGGAAACGTTCCTTGATGGAGATGGAGGGCAAAGAGGATGCTCAGAAAGTCTTGAAGTGCATGTACTGTGGACACTCATTTGAATCCCTGCAAGACCTCAGTGTCCACATGATCAAAACAAAACACTACCAGAAAGTGCCTCTCAAAGAACCAATGCCAGCTCTTGCCTCAAAGCTGGTGCCCTCTACCAAAAAACGAGTCTTTCACGACTTAGTGTCCCCATGTTCACCTGAGTCCATCAGTAGCACCACTGGTGTTCCACTGGCAGAGTCCACACCCACCAAAGACCAGAAGGTTTCTAACCCCTATGTTACCCCTAACAATCGCTACGGCTATCAGAATGGTGCAAGCTATACCTGGCAGTTTGAGGCCCGAAAAGCCCAGATTCTCAAGTGTATGGAGTGTGGAAGTTCTCATGACACCTTGCAGCAGCTAACAGCCCATATGATGGTCACAGGGCATTTCCTCAAAGTCACCAACTCTGCTTCAAAAAAGGGGAAACAGCTAGTATTTGACCCAGTGGTGGAAGAAAAAATTCAGTCCATTCCTCTTCCACCAACCACAACACGTCTGCCAATTCCAACCATCAAATCACAACCAGATTCTCCATTGCACCCCTCCACAACTGAGGACAGGAAGGATTTGCAAGATGAAAAAATGGAGGTGGGTGAGCCAGAGAAGAAAATCAAAGAGGAGAAAGAGGATCCCTCTGAAAAACCTGAGAAGTCCGAGAAACCTGGTCAGTACAAGTATCTCCGAGAGGAAGATCTGGAGGAGACTCCCAAAGAGGGTCTTGATATTCTAAAGTCTCTAGAAAATACTGTATCTAGTGCGATCAGCAAGGCTCAGACTGGTACCCCCACATGGGGAGGCTATCCTAGTATCCACGCTGCCTACCAGCTGCAAGGTTCAGTGAAATCTCTCTCTGCTGTTCAGAGTGTTAAAATGCAACCTACATACAGCGCAAGCAGCTTGAAGTCCCTGTCAGCTGAAACCAGTGCCCTCATCCATTCCCCAAGCAGTCCGTCCCCACCACCGAATCATAAGAACAATGTCCTGGCCATGGAGGAGTTAGTGGAGAAAGTAACAGGAAAAATTGTCTCGAAGAAAGAGAAGGAGGAAAAGGGTATTGAACGCATCCCAAAGCATGTCTCTGCGAAATCACCTTCACCTGTACCCAAGGAGAAGAAAGATCTGCCTCAGCCAACTGACCTTAGCAAGGCTACAAAGAATGGCACCGCAGAGGAGATTGAGTCACTTGGGAGGGAAGGAGAACAGAAGGAGAGCCATGCAGATACGCCTGACAAGAATGGGATGGATGCCCTCAAAGCGCCGGTCAGCAATGGTTGCAGCAGTTTGGGAATTATCACTGATCACTCACCAGAACAGCCTTTAGTCAACCATCTCAGTGCACTGCAGTCTATCATGAACACTCACTTAGGCAAGGCTTCCAAAACTGTCAGCCCTCTCCTCGATCCATTAGCAATGCTTTACAAAATCAGCAACAACATGATGGAGAAGCCCATTTACAATCCTACTCAGGTTAAACAAGTTGAGTCCATCAACAGATATTACGACAACGATGATCAGCCAATGGACTTGACGAAATCCAAGAGCAGCAACGGGCGCACAAACAACGGCTCCTCCACTGTCATAAGCAACAATAACAACAGCAGCATCGCTAACAGTAACCGACCCATTCTGTCCAACTTATCTGAATCGGTGTCTTCCCCTCTGCGGGAAAATGCTTTGATGGACATCTCGGACATGGTGAAAAACCTCACGGGCCGCCTGACACCAAAGTCATCGACGCCCTCTTCTGTCTCCGAGAAGTCAGATGCGGATGGCAGCGCTTTTGAAGATGCTCTGGAGGATTTTACCCATGTGCAAAAGAGGAAAGGAAGACAGTCTAACTGGAACCCTCAGCATCTCCTGATTTTGCAGGCTCAGTTTGCATCCAGCCTTCGTGAGACCCCTGAGGGGAAGTTTGTCATAACGGACCTGGGTCCTCAGGAGCGTGTACATATCTGTAAGTTCACAGGTCTCTCCATGACCACGATCTCTCACTGGCTGGCCAACGTGAAGTACCAGCTTAGGCGGACAGGCGGAACCAAGTTCCTAAAGAACATTGACTCGGGCCAGCCTCTGTTCCTGTGCAGTGACTGTGCTTCCCAGTTCAGAACTCCCTCCACGTACATTAGCCACTTAGAATCCCATTTAGGGTTCAGTTTGAAGGACCTTTCAAAGTTATCTCTAGACCTCATGAGGGAGCAGCAGGCGGTCACAAAAATGATAACGGACAAGACCTTCAATTCCCTGGCCTTGACCGAGGAGGACTCTAATTCCATCTATCAGTGCAAACTGTGCAATAGGACTTTTGTCAGCAAGCATGCAGTCAAGCTGCACCTCAGCAAAACGCATGGCAAGTCTCCAGAGGACCACTTGATCTTTGTCTCTGAGCTTGAAAAGTTAGATAAAGCGTAGAGGAGGAGCAGGCCAGTGGCAGTGAAGTGACTGGCTCGAGAATCCTTGCACTACATCACTGTAATGCACTGCACCTGAACTGAGCCTTCAGTCAAAATCAGTCAAATATTTGTTGTGCAACTGCCTGACTGGACCATGATCTGTTTCTTCTTTTATTAATTTTTTGTTTGTTTTGGTTGTTGTTTTTTCACTCTCTTGATTTCTATATCTTACTTTGTATTGTATTTATATATGTGTTGACTTTGTGCATGTTTTTTTCCATCAGTGACCAGATTCAAGCAGATTTTTCCACTGTTTGTATTCTGTGGAATTGAGAATGAGACCAGCATGGTATCCATGGGCATGGTCAAAAACAAGACTGAAGAAGTAATACGTGAATATAGTTGAGTCTATCATACTGTACACTTAACCGACAAATGTGCAGGAACCATTAAGAATATATATGAAGTGAGAAAGACGTATTTTGTTATTTTGAGCTCAAATTCCCAAATTTGGCTTTATACCAATCAAACTTCCACAAAATGATCTGTGAAAATGACACATTGAAGGCAGCGATCTTTCAAACCTCAAAGGATATTGATGATCACCCTGCTGCTTCAGATGGTCCACTTTGTGTTTTCAAATGACTTTGTTTTTACGTATTTGTTGGCAGTTGTTTTGTTGTTAAGTATCATTTTTTACAGTAGCAATTTGGAAATGTATGCTTTGGTACCGACTTTTCTCTTTCTATAGGTTTGCTTCGATTTCAACCTGTAAAGACTTAATTAAATCCTTATATACAGTACATATATATTTAAATGATCTGCAATGATGTACATGTACATTTTCATCATCATATCTTGCCAATTGCCGCAGCATTGTTTGTATGGTGTGCATTCTTTTATATTGTCATTTTATATATAGTAAACAAAAACGAAATAATATGTAAATAGATATATATGCAGACAGTATGTGACCAGTAGCGTCAACGTTCATCCTTTTGGTCCTCCAGTGTGGTTAATATTAATTGATTTGATGGAATGCGTCCTCAGATGCGCAGTACGTGTGAGTGAAAAGAGCAGTGCACAACAGGAATTCCAGTGCATTTCAATGTTTTTAATCATACCATTGTGAAATGTCCCATCAACTCATGAAAAAATATTGTTTTTGTCCCTCAATTGTAAAATAAATCCTGACGCAGTTCTTGACTAACTCTCTGTCCACCAGTTTTTGATTCTAACCGACTCATGTTGTGCTGCATTTGTGTGCTGCAAGTGCAGACGCTTTCAAGAAGCAATGCATCTTTACTCACCGCATCAAGAAATCCTGCTAGAATCTGTATACCAGCTGGTAAAGCTAGTCCTGAAGGTGCCTTTGAGCGGTTGTGGCTTTTTCTAAAATCTGCAAAGTTAATAGTGATCAGCAGCACGAGTGGGACTTGTTTTTAGACCGGGGGACCAAACACCAACTGTACTTTCTCACACAAGACCGTTGCCTTCTTCCAAAAGAGTGAGAGCAAGAAGCCGACAAGAACACTCCCAGATCTGAAAACTGCTAATAGGTCATTTGTTTACTACCCAACAGCTACTGCAGTAACTTAGCAGAGAAAGGCTAGTTAACGGCTGTGTTCAAATTAGGTTAACTGTCTTTTCTAAAATATTGGTGTTTTCATTTTCACATTTGCTGCTCTCATTTATTTGCTACAGTGAGTCTAACAAGCTGGGATGGAAGAAAAAAAAGGCTGTTAGATAAGCTAATTTGAACACAGGGGTTAACCAGCCTTTCTTTGCCAAGCTACTGCAGTAGCTGTTCAGTTGTAAAAAGTCATTTGCTGCTCTTATCTATGTGCTACAATGAGACTAACAAGCTGGGCTGACTAAATGAAAACTGGAGAGCTGTTTTTATTTTAAATGAGATATAATTTTATGCTAGCTGCCCACCTGCTCAGATATATCAGATATTTTGGAGCATCCTTCTTAATTGCTATTATCTATTATCTAGGGCACCACTTTGTTTTTTTTTTTTCTCTTTTTGTTGCTGCTGCTATCTTTAAATGAGTCACGTATGACTCCTGCAACACTGGTAAGCAATGCAAAAAGTAGTGCAATCAGAAGAACGTTGTTTTATCAACGACCGTGCCAATTTTGAACAGGCTAATCTCTACCAGACTTTAGACATTAGCTGACCAATTATACATTGTTAGAAATAAAGGTTCTGTACATTTTTCATTCATCAAGGTACAAACAATGTAAATGTTCCCTCAAAGGTACAACAGTGGTTTTAAGGTCTGATTGTGAACCTTAAATAAGTTTTTCCAGGTGAAAAGTTCGTATTTGTACCTTTTAATAACCAAATGTTTTAAAACAGAACAGTAAAATAAAAGCCTGGAGACGAGACGGGGTGTGTGGAGTCAGTACAGCTTAGAACATATCATTTCAGTGGATTATGGTTCAGTTATGTTCCCTGACTAAAGGAACTTTAGATGTACCCTTGAGGGGACCACCCCAGTGACAAGAGGGGCACTGCCCCAGTGACAGTTTGGGCCTTTTTTCTGAGAGTGCAGCAAGCAAACTGTTGCTGTACCATGTGAGGAGAGGGCCATGTAATGTTTACACTTGTCTGTGCGTACCTCTGTTTATATGTGTGGGATGATGTGGATGCTGTTAGCCAGGCCAAAATGTTACTGGCCCACCGTGATTTCTCCCGACTCTCCTGAGTACCCACTTTGGTTTGATTGAACTCACCACAGCCACAGAGTGTGCCAGCAATGGATTGCTTTTGCAGATAAACCAAACATTTTAGTCAAAATGTTCTGGAACATTTTCACCTTCATCAGGCTGTCAATGCGGCTTTACACTTTTGTTTTGTATGTAAATGAGGGAGCGTTTCCAGGGACGAACCCTTCTAGCGAGCAGCGAACGCTCTCTCACCACGAAAACACAAACTTGTGGATTTAACGCTGCTCAGTTAAACCTGTATATCTGTCTCGCCAGGGCTGATGGCAGGAACACAGATCCAGCCTTCTCCCTTTGTTAAGGATCTTAGCGCAGTCCCCGTACGTATTCTATGTAAATTACTGTAATCACAACAAACAGTACAACCTGAGTACCTGCAGAGCAAACTGAGACATCAGCAGATAGACGCTGTTTAAGCAGATTTGCGTGGCTTTTGCCTGCTCCAACAAATATTTTTCCACAGGGATTCACGGGGCTTTTCCCAACTTGTAGGTAAATGCCAGATTTCTTTTGGGAATCCAACAATTTACTCTTTTCAACTCAATTACTTGGTGATAATGTGCGTGGACACTGGGGGTTTTAGAGGGACAGAAACCTGAGGGGGCCTAGGACTGAAGCGCGTGGCGTTTGCACAATAATCTAAACCTCCATTCAAAGCAGCTTTGGGGAGTTGCAGCAGCAAACCTCCTGTTAGTTGTCCTATTTGAGAGTACAATCTCACTCAAATTGGCATGTTTTGATTTCCCAGTGGTCCCCTAGTGTATATGCTGAGCCTCGGCCTTGAAGTTCTGGTTCCCTCCAATTACTGCAATTTGTCATTCAAACGGCACTTGTGCTGGTGGAGAAATAACTTGAGATCGTCAGAGATCAAAATGCATACTTGTACAATTAGATCTATACGTTTCAGCACCCAGGTCAGAAGATTGTTGTGGGAGAGAAATGTTTTTAGGAAGCTGCGGCAGAAGGAAGGAGCCGTATGAGTTTATGCCATCTGTTTCATTCGGGTAGAGGCGCTAGCAGGCCTCGAGAATAAGTTGGAATAAAACTGACTTAACAGCGAAGCAAGAAGTAACATTTTTTTTTGCCTTCAAAATAAGATGAAAGGAACATTGTTATTAAAATCATACCTTTTGGGGACTTAGCAGATTCAGGTGTATTATAAAATTAAGCCTTCCATTTTTCACGACACATGGGGACGTGACTCTCGGTGAAGATAAAGGGGGCACGGCAGGTTCCTCTCCAGAGGAATTTCAGAGAGTGACTTCCTGCCTCCCTGCGGTTTTCTTTTACACTTGCCGGAGGCGTCGCGTCGAGAAACAATAGGACGTCGCCGCGTTTCACAGCTTGTGTTCCGTACCTTAAAGCTAGGGTTCGATTCAAGCCTGGAAGCTTAGGGTGAAATGGTTAAAGACAACAGAGAAGGTAAACACTAAGGCGCGGAGATTTAAGAGAGGCCTCGTTGGGTTTGTTTTTGTCACTCTTTTTTTTGAATATGTAATGCCAAGTGGTGGTTAAGTACAAGATGAAACTTTGCTTATTCCTTCTGTCTGCTTTTTCTACAAAGCACCCTATGTCGAATTGATAAGTTACATGGCTGCTTGTGAGGGGTTACTTTTGACAAACATTCAAATTCACATCCCACTTTTAGCATTTCGTAGTCTTCCTGACGAGAGCCTGCATCCCCTGTTTGAGTGTTTGCTGCTGCAGCGCACATATAAGAAATAAGATGCTATTAAATTAATCGAAATGATAAAGGTCTCTTATAATAGCCCGGCTCTTTGTCTGTATCCTCCTACAGTCATTTTTCTCTCAGTGTGCAGACAATGTATCCTGTAATATTAATTTCAGAAAGAAAAATATCATGAATATTGAATAGCAAGTCTTTGCTCACAGTGTCGGATGTTGTCATCTCAGATGTAGACAATCAGCGCGACTCCACCAGACGGATCCACGTGCTTTTTTCACTCTCTCTCTCTCTCTATTTCACTTTAAAGTAAACAGCATAAATTGGCTCTGTTTCATTCCTCCTACTCGACCTCATGGGGGGGAGAGACTAGGCAGAAATATGAAGCTACACAAAAGCATTCAGTGACAGTGGGAGGATGATGAATTCTATCTGTTTACAATTTGTAATAATCAAAAGGCAAGGCAGCGCAACCGGGCTCGAGAGCAATTGAAATGTTACGTTTTTTGAAAATGACACTCGTTCCGTGTTTGCTGCACTTGACGTTAAATGGAAAACAATGAATCTGAAGAAAAAAATAAAAGGCATCGCATGGCCCACACGGCACTGAATATTCATGTTGCTCTCAGCAAATTAAACAATGCGAAAGCAGGAAATCATCACGGAAGCATCAGCTCATCCAGTGAGGTTTACAGTGTTATATTCGTCTTGTTCCAGACCTGCAGTTCCCAGTCCCAGTCTGGCAGACTCCGCGCTCTGCACCTTTTGGTGCATTCCCAGAAATAAGACACCTGAGCCATGCTTGATATTCAGCAGACGGGATCAATCAGGTGTGCTAGATTACAGAAAACACAAAGATGGTTTTGTAGGCCAGAAGATGGTCCGTACCAGGGGTCGCAACCTGAATGTTAAGAAGAGCCATTTTGTCCTTTCAACAAAAATCAAACCACCTTGGGAGCCACAGCATTTTATGTCCATTTTACCATCATGGCTGTAAATATGTCTCAGTATGTGCTGATGTACCAGTATAGGATGGAAATGTAATATAAACAAAAACGCAGACTTACTTTGCTCTGCTTTAAGCTTTAGCTCAGCTATAGCCGCTTTTCTCGCATCTCCGGCAGGAAACTTTTCGGCAAAAATGGAATAGTTTATTGTAAAATGTCTCTCCACGTTCAATTTTTGTGAGGCTGAAGTCAGTTTCTCATGCGCCAACTTCTTGTTTGGATTTTCCTCTTCCACCTTAAATGGTGCCTGAGGCGCCAGAATGTAACTGCTGCATCATTTAAGGTGGAATGGGAAAAATCGAACAAGAAGCTGATGAGTGAGAAACTGACTTCAGCCTCGTGACTTTTTAGTGTTTGACAGTTTCTCGCTGCAGATTAAACGTATCAGGAAACCAAATGGAGTGATTATTAATGCAAATAAGTCCATTTGTCTCCAAATTATCAACGTTCGTCTTAAATCTTTCCCTTTGCCTTTTCGTTAGCTACTAGCTGGACCAGATTCTTATCTACATTGCTATGGTGACCAGCAATCTGGACGCCAACCTTCAGGGTTAAAGGCTGGTGAATTAGCAGTTATACATTAATGCCAGCGTTTGTTAAAACTGTGTTAAAACTAACTATCAGCAGAGCTTTATTGTACCTCAAAGCAGGATTGTTTTATGTTTACCTACAAATCTAATTCTGCTGTGCAGCCAAAACAGGGCAGTAAAAGAGCCGCATGTTGTCAATCCATGGTCTATGCTGTGGTCATAACAGTTTTCTGTCTCTTAGAGTTGTAGTTCTTAA